AATGCACCGCCACATCCCCCTTACCCAGGAGGGACTTGGTGATGCCAAACAGGACCACCGGGCGGCACTCTGCAGACGCAATAACGGCAGAGAAGTATTGGTGCTTCGCCGCCCTTATCGCCACAATGTAGGCCTTAATAGTGGCTCTAACATGTGTTCTTGAACTTTCACTCCAATATTTTCTTATTCCATATCTTCCATGTCAGTTTTTCCCACAATACACTCTTCACACTACCAAAAAATGGTCTACTGCCTCCCATTAACTTTGTATCCTTTACTAATTATCTCAATCTTTCATTATAAACAATCAAATGATATTTATAAATTTATATTCATTCCTTTGGCATGTGTACCTATGAGTAACCTATGCTTCAAACATACACTTAAACAGAACTTTTTCTAAGCAGATACTCACCGCTCATTATTTTCAATCATTCATAAACTAACATACCACTACTTCTAGGGAACTCAAAAACTCAAAAAAAAAAAATTGAAATTGTCAAGGATCTTGATATTAAAATAGAAGAAAACTCATTGAGAAAGTATGAAGCACACTTTGCCAGAGCACTACCTTTAACAAATTCTTCACTGATTGGATTGGACTAGATTCTTGTTTTCATGATCAAACAGAACAACATGAATCACTTAACCAAACAGGGAAGTAGAACAAAATAATCATCATGAGATTATAAAACAGCATTTTAACTTATTGTGCTGCCAACTCTGAGACTAAGATTACAGTTTCCACTTGAGAATCTTCCACCAAGTATAAGAGCAATCTAATGAAGAATACTCTTATACAACTTGGCTATTTTATAAACCCCCATTATATTGCTATCTGCTAAGCTACTGAGTATCTTCAAGTGGCATGAAAGAAAGTTATGATATGGAACTTTATTAACTTCTAATACTCCATAAATACTTTAATAATTAATTTGAATAATTAATTTGAATAATTTAAATAATATGAATTAATTCAATTAATTAATTAATTAAATAATTTATTCCATAAATATTCCATAAATGCTTTATCATTCATAATAGTTTCCAGATATTCATAACCTGCAAAATAAATTATCACCATCACCTAAAAAATAATTATGTGTACATCAGATTTCACTATGTAGTCTATATATTAGAGCTGTTCAGGGTTCTGAAGACAAAAATGTGATTTGGATTGTGCATAGATGCATATAGAGCACCTGCCAGAAATATCTCAAAGCAGTTGCTGCCTTGTACAGTTCTTCAAATATGCTCGTGCACGGGTGCCTAAGCTTAACAGAAAAGAAAGTGAAAAAGTCCGAGTATATCTCCAAGATTCCATTAAAAAAATAAATCCAAATGAAATGACATGTAAGCAAGCATGTTTGTAAAAAGGGTTACCATAATATGACTTCACTGATTTGACTAGCATCTTCAACCCATTTAAAATAAATAAATATTTATAATCTTTCTAAATATCAGAAGATCCTTTGCAATAACTGAGGCAGTCACGCATGCATAAAGACTGGGAGATGGGGAAAATATTTCCAGAATTCAAATATTTAATTTTCAAGTTTTTTCATATTGTCAATAACTTTTTCAAGTGTTTAAGCAATTAATTCAATAACTTATGGCAAAATTCCTAGTGTTCTCTACTGAATTATTATAAGCAAAAATTAAAGTCTTAATGTATGACCTACAATTATTAAATAAAAATATTTCATGTTTTCAGAATGGAAGTAGAAGTGATATCCTCCCACATTGCCTTCTGAGGAACTGTATTGTTTTTTTCAGTCATTTTCCTGGATGTAGAAAATATTTTAGAATACAGCATTTTAGGACATTTGTTTGTTGGGAGTACAAATTCCCTTTTGAGGTATTCTTAGTTAATTTTGTGTAATCACTGGTTATGTTCCAACAAAATATCCTTAAAAGCATCACATACTATAAAATCCAGTGTGCAGTGCAAATTGTTTTCTATAGAAGATTTGACTTCACTCCAAATTGGTAATCCACATCTATAGTTTGAACTTTTCCAGATGAACTTTTAATTGCTTGTGCTAAAGCTGAAGGTGTTCTCCTAGGTAAGTGCCCGCAATGACTAGCACTTAAAATCATTATACCAGTTTTAACCATTAAATTATTGGATTTCAGTATCAACAACATTAAAGAATTCTCTCTCCACTTACCATGTGATTTCTTTGCCACTTCATTGAAGAAAGGGTGCAATATATTTGGGCTTTTTATTGCTTTTGTAGAAAGTGCTCATTACCTTTTTTCAATGTTTGTACATAAGAAAAAACAAAAGCAAAAACAGTTTTCCAGGTGGGAAACATCACACTGTCGTCGTGGTTGATTTCCTCAAGATGGTCTTTTGGGGTTTTGGTGCAGTTGGTGGAGGCACAGTTGCAGGTCTGAGAGGGGGAAAGCTATTACTGGGACTTATGCCCACCCCTCCGTTTTCTAATGGGGGAGGAAGAAGTGGTGAAGGAGGTGGTGGCAAGGGAGGACACTGCTGAAGAAGTTTTCCCGGGATGTGAGCAGGCTCATTGTGCAAATGAACCTCCCTATTTTTAATGTTATACCGCATGTCACAATCAGCACAATAGCCATGGTACTGCACCTTTTCATTAAATCGTACCCGCTCCCGTGTTCCAGCCTGAGGACATCTGTCTTTCTCAGATCTGTGCATAAGAGATTGCATTGGAACTTTGTCCAAATTATTATTTGATATACAACATATATCTCCATTTGGAATTTTATTAGGTCCTCCTGGTAAGCCTCCATTTCGTAGCAGAGTCCCATTAGTCTTTACAGGATTGGCAGAGATAACTGGCCTGTGAGAGTCTTCACACTTCACTGGGGTCAGCCGCGGAGGAGGTGGTGGGGGATTTGGTTTCCTTAGTACTGTTAGAATGGCAGATGGATGGGCGGGGGGTTTGATGAGTGGGGCACTGCCTTGCACCTTGATTTTTTCCAAACTTGATGCTGTTGTGCTACTTGAACTGCTATTCAACGTGTCTGTTTTTGAGCTGTCAGTCATCTCATCTTCCAACTGCAGATCAGAAGTTAGTGTATCAATCTGGTCAACCACCTGCATGAAAATCAAATGCAAACAGTGATAAGGACTGATGACAATGAAAAAGAGCAGAATATTAATTTGTAACCTTTTTTCAATAGTTTTTGTAACTGGTATGTAATATTCATATTTTAATCATCAGCTTGAAAAGCCATCGTTTCTTTCCTTTTATTGCACTGCAGTGAAGTTCTTATAAGTGTTTACTAAGCATGTTACCTACAATTTTCTTCATGTTTTTAGAAGAACAGCCAGTTAAACCATTTATCCTAATTTAGAAATGAATGATTCAGAAATCAGAACTACCATGAAAGATCTTTTAATAGCCATCCCTGGATAAAACATGAAAAAGTCATGAAAATATAAATTCCAAGGGAGTTCTATGGCAAACTAGAAGTCCCTGAAGGAGTGGGGATGGCATTGTGGCGGAGGTTGGTGGCCAGATGGTGAATTCTGGCTGGCACGGTCTCTCAGGACAAGGAGAGATTGTGAGATCGCCCACTTGCATTCCAGACAGCTGCTCCTCATGAAGAGACTGAAGGAACTGAAGTTTTTGCAGTGGATTTGTGAGTTGAGTGGCTGGAGGTTGAGGAAATTCAATCAAACTCACAGCTGTAATACAGCCATAATATACAAGGTTCACAAAAGCCTCACTTTCTTAATCACTATTGGATGTATTCAATTTACAGCTAAAGAGGGATTTTTCTGAGCGGCAGGTTAAAAGAAATCCACTTGGCGAGTCAACATTCTTTCTGGATTAAAGAAAAAGGGGGAGAAAAAGGCTTAAAAGCTTTAAATTTTCAGCAAAAAGCTTGACAAGAATTGGATGTAAGAAAGTTTAAACGGATAAAGGGTACAGTAATTTTGAAAGATTAAATTTTGGTGAAAGTGCTTTTAAAATATTGGAATTAAATAGATGAACAGACCTGGCCTTCATGGGAATGTTATTTGTTCAGCATTAAAGAGCATAGACAATTGGTGGATTTTACAAAATAAAGGTAAAAGTAATATGAGTCAGATTGTGAAGGTGACTGTAAATTAGGAGTGCCATTTGAGGCAAGTAACAAGATATCATTTGCTTACCAGAAACACATATCTAAAAAGGATATAAAATATTTGACTTATAAAAATTTGAGTGAATTCATTTCAGCAGGAACAAAAAGAAAAAGGAAGAAAAGAAAAGAAAAGAAAAGAAAAGAAAAGAAAAGAAAAGAAAAGAAAAGAAAAGAAATGGAATTATTTTGTATATAAACCCCCAACTACAACCAGAACTTATATTGACTGATGAGCATGGTAGATAAGTTGGGGTAAAAGTTAATTTGCATGGGTTTAAGACTCTGATATTGGGAATGTATGCCCCAAATGAGGATAAAGCAATGTTCTATAAAAGACTAATGGACAAACTAATGGGCTTTTCTTATGAAAATTGGTGTTTAAAGGGAGATTGAAATGAAATGATCTCCCCACAAGTAGACAAAACTTTTGAGATCAATATTAAAATTACATACATAGGGTAAACTACCAAAAGTTTTTGTTTTTGTCTTTATTTGATGGACAATTTAGAGCTTGTTGATGCATGAAGACATAAAAATGACAATTCAAGAAAGTATACTTATTTTTCTGAAAGCATAGATCTTTTACAAGAATAGAGAACATTTGTATTTTGAGACTTAGACTACTATGATTCATAAACTAGAGATATTATCAAAGACTTTTCATATCATAATCCAATAAATTTTTTAAATGGAAACTCAAGTTCTTTCAGATGGAGGTTAAATGAAATGCTGTTACACAAAGAAGCAATAGTGGAGGACCATAAAAAGAAATTAAGAGTTAATTTTATCTTTTAATCTTTTTTCCTTTTCTTTCAGCACTTAAGCTTTATCTTTTATTTCTTCCTTTGTCTTTTTTATTTCTTATTCTATTTTAGTTTCTATTAATTTTTTTATTCTTGTTTTTAAAACTTCCAATAAAATTATACCTTAAAAAAAGAAAATATAAATATATTCTTCTAAATCAGAATGGAACACATATTCATATATATATATATATATATATATATATATACACACACATACACATATACACATATACATACACACACATATACATACATACACAAACACACACACACGTACCATGGCTAGACAAGCCCCTGCATAGGATGTAACATCAACAGATAGCTGAGGTGACTGACATTGGGAAATCCTACCAGTGGCTGGAAAGAACTGGACTAAAAGACAGCACTGAGGTACTGATCACAGTAGCACAAGAACAGGCATTAAGCACCAGGTCCATAGAAGCAGGGATCTACCACACGAGACAGGACCTAAGGTGCAGACTGTGCATAGAGGCCTCAAAGACAGTCCAACACATAGTGGCAGGGTGTAAGATGCTGACAGGAACAGCACACACTGAATGGCACAACCAAGTAGCTGGCATTGTGTACAGGAACATCTGCATAGTGTATGGACTAGACCCTCCCAAGTCCAGATGGGAGATTTCACAGAATGTCATGGAGAATAACAGCGCTAAGATCCTGTGGGACTTCCAGATCCAGATGGACAGGCAGGTTCTGGCCAATCAACCAGACATCAAGGTAGTGGACAAAGACCAGAAGTCAGTGGTGGTGATAGATGTAGTGGTGCCAAGTGACAGCAACATCAGGAAGAAGGAGTATGAGAAGCTGGAGAAGTACCAGGGCCTGAAGGAGGAACCACAGAGGATGTGGAAAGTCAAGGCCAAAGTGGTTCCAGTGGTGGTAGGAGCACTCAGGGCTGTGACTCCTAAGCTGGGAGAGTGGCTCCAACAGATCCCAG